GACCAGGCTAGCCTCGAACTCACAGAGATCCACCTGCTTCTGCCTCCTGAGCACTGGGATTAAAGGAGTGTGTTCTCCATCTCCCCTAATTATAAAAAAAAAAAAAAAGGTGTGCACCACCACACCAATAATTCTTGTTACTTAGTTAAGCCGTGTTGGGAATCAGATACAAAGTGATTTAACCCTTATTATCACATGACAACATCAGGCTCCAGGGAGTCCATGGAGTCTGAGGTATGCACAGAGATCTGTATTCCTGGAGCCTACAGGTCCTGCCCGGCAGTCTCACCCTCCTGGCACTCCACTCTCTGCTAGTCCAGTGTGAAGCATCCTGCAGGTGACCTTGGCTGGCTGCAGGTCACATGGAATTGCAGCTTGGAAGATCTGTGTTTTAGAGACATAACCGTTACTGCTAAAGTGTGCAGGCCTGCAGTCTGGCTGACTTGGAGTGTGAGGACAGAGAGGACTGGCACAGGAGCTGCCCGCCAGCTTTTGGAGTGGGGCTTGGACCACATGACTATGACGCTCTGTGAGTGATCAGCATAGAGGTTCCCCAAAAGCAAAGATGAGGGACAGGCCCTGGTTACCACATCTGTATTACCTTCTTCCAACTTACTAGACTTAGACTAGTCCTGGAATCTAAGTCTCAGCTGCCTGGTCCCTACTACTCCAGTCCTCCTACCATACATCAATGCCTTCCTGATGGCCCACAACAGTTTGGTTTTCACCTGTGTAAAGTGTGGTGACTCCTGCCTTTAATGCCAACAACTGGGAGGCAAAGGCCAGTTAGACTAAATGATAAAATCCTGTCTCAACAGACAAACAATAATAATAACAACAAACACCCAGGCCTGTAGCTCAGTCCCCAGGTCAGCAGACAGCCTGGGTCTTCCCTGGACATCCTCCAGTGTCCACTTCCTGTCTCCGAGGTCTGGGATGACATTTCTCCATCGAAGTAGAGCCCGTCTGTCTCCCTTCCTCCCACTGGGCCTCCTTGCTGCAACCACCTTGGGGTGCTGAGCCAGTCCCATCATTTTTTTTTTTTTTTTCTCGAGACAGGGTTTCTCTGTAGCTTTGGAGGCTGCCCGGGAACTAGATCTTGTAGACCAGGCTGGTCTCAAACTCACAGAGATCCGCCTGCCTCTGCCTCCCGAGCGCTGGGATTAAAGGCGTGCGCCACCAACGCCCGGCTCCATCAATTGTCTTGTTGGAGCCTCACACTCCCACCCAGGAGGAGCTGCCAGCCCCTTTTATATAGAAGAAATTGAGGCACAGATAGCAAAACTTGACTCAAGTCAGGCACTGGGCACTGAAGATTCAGGGCCTCTACTGGACCACAATGTAGCTGCCTTTACCACCTCTCCACCTCCCTGCCCTTAGTGGGCCAGGGTTTGTCTGCTTCTCCCAAACCCTTTATACCATCTTTTGTCTCCCTGCCCCTCTTCACCCCTGCAGTCTGTCACCTGTCCTCTCCCTGAAGATGAGGCCCTGGGGACCTTCATCTTTCTGAACATTCAGCTGGCCCAGAGGCTGTCTGCTCCTGCCACCCACCCAGACTTTTCAGAGACACTAGCTGTTTCCTTCCTGTCCACTCTGAGCTCTCCTGTTCCAGGCCTCTCCTCTGCTGCTGCCCTCCCTAATCCGTCCTACATCTCACTGAACCCCACCCAGTCCCTGCCCCTTCTGTCTAGTCAGTCCCTCAAAGCCCAGGAGATGCTGAGTGACGTTCTTGTTCTCCTGAAACAATGTGAACAGACACCCGACCCTAACATTCAGCTTGGGACCTTTAGAAGACACCTCTCTCCCTGTCCCAGCCCAATCCTCTCCAGCAAAGAGGGGGAGCCGAATAGAGCTGGTGAGAGCTATCCCATGCCAGGGGAAAGGCTGGAGAAGGAAGGGCAGGGCAGGGGCTAGAGCCTGATCCTCTGCAGACCAGCCAAGGCAGGCTCTAGTGGGACCACTACAGCAAGGCACTGAGGACTGCTGGCTGCTATTTAGGGTGCTGTAATATTCATGAAGGGAAGATTAGATATTTAAATTTATTCAGCAATAAATGTGTCTCAGTGGGGGAGCATTCCTCATGCTAAACAAACAAGCAAGCAGGGGCTAATTAATTATTTACAGGAACAAGAGGAGCCAGTGGCCTAGGGGACACAGAGGGCAGCTATGCCCCTGCCAAAGGGTCAGATGTTCCCATTCCCTTCTGCCACTCTGCGGAGCTGGCCCTTTTACATTCTCTTCTGGGATTTCTCTTTCCGGAAATTCAAACCAAAGATTGCTGTTAGCTTTGGGCTAGTTATTCAACCTCTCTGAATCTCAGAGTCTAGGTGTCTAAAGATTTGTAGAAAAATTGACTTAGGCTGGGGGGGTAGCCAGCAGGAGGGCAACCAAAAGCCAGAGGAGTCAACAACTTTCCAAGGTATCATGGCTGCAAGCAGA